GGCCAGTTTGATAAAGAAAGTTCTTAATTTGTTGAGATTTCAATCAGATATCAAAACAGATAGCAAACAGATAGTAAAAAAAGAAAACGAAATTAGTGAAAACGTTAAAATTCACCATTTTTCAAATGCGAGCTTCATATGTGAGCTCTTTAAATTGCAAAATGTTTTATTTTTTGTTGAGAACTTAATCCGTGAACTTTCTTTTCAGCTGGGGAATCTAACAACTGAAACCCATCTTAAAAACTACAAAATATTCAGATGTTTTTACATCATTTTTAATTTTTCTTAATCGATTGTGTTAATCGTTTTTACATCATTTTTAATTTTTCTTAATCGATTGTGTTAATAAGTCAACTCTAAAAACAAAACAGGCCAAAAGTCAAACAGGGCGCATTCATATTCAAGTGTTAACATAAATAATTTTAACCAAAAAACTAAATGTTTTGTTCGAATCTTGATAAATTGTTAACCTTATGAACACTCTTCGTCTCAAAAAATAATTAAATTTTGTTTTTCGATAAATTAAGCGCAAAGATCTAATTGAAACGCACTGTGTTTCAAAAGTTTGTAGGCTTGCGTCACCTTCAATCTTATTTTAGTTGTGTTTCTTTTTTTAGCTTAAAATGCTCAATTTTTGTTGTCTTCGTTTTTTTTGCTGAAAACACTTAAGCTCGATTCTTAAGATTGAATGATTCAATGAAAAAATTATTAAAGCCACGTGTTTTTTTTTCGTTTCTTTTTCCAGAAAAACTTTTACAATTTGCTAATGCTGATATAATATTTTGTCGTTTGACTTTTGAGTTCATTTTAACTTCAAACTAACTTTATTTAATAAAAGAGAGGCAAATTATTTTTTGCAAAAACAAATGTATAAGAAGCGTATAAAAAATTTTCAGTTTTAATTTCAAAGAAAGAATATGAATTGTTGTTTTTCCAGTGAAATGAAATATATATATATATATATATATATATATATATATATATATATATATATATATATATATATATTTAGATTGTTTACGTTCATTCTAAAACTTCATTCATTCAGCAAGTTGTACGCTGATATATATGTTTTATTTATTTGTTCAGGCCTCGTTGAGGTTATTGACACATTTTCAGATGTCTGTTGGCTTTGTTTCAACTGTATTTAAAACTATATATTTTAACAAAAATTTATATACTTGTCATTTATAATTTCGGATAAACAGTACATTTTCAACCAAGTCGTATTGGGTGGTAAAAATTGGTAAAAATTGGGTGGTAAAAATTGGAAGATAACTCCAAAGAGAATATTATTTTACCTACAAAAAATAATAATTTTTAAACACACAAATAAAACAACGATTTAATTAAAATTGCAATCCGTTCTAAAATTAAAAAAAAATGTTGAAACAGCAAAACGTGTCTTTGCCAACTGAATTGATTTTTGGCAAAACATTGCAAAAGTTGCTTAAAGTGCGAAAAAATTGTTAAATATATTAATGAAAACTAACCAATTTGGTTGATTCAAACTACGCGACAACCTCTGCGATAATTCCTAACTGATCTGAGCAATTTAGAGTTCTAAGGAGTTTTAAAAAGGTAAAACAACCGAAAATTAAAAATCACGGTTATTGTGGTGCCTGATTACAAAATATGTGTTTCACCTCAAATATTCTAGCTTTCTCGTTGTTTGAAATTAATTAAGAAATCTACAGTGAACTGCTTGACATCAAATTATCTTTTAACTAATTTCGGCTAGATAAAACATTTATTTTGTTATTTTTTTTTAAAATAAAGTTAAGGCGGTAAATTTTTTGAAAATTAGTCTAAAACAACCAGTTGCAATGTAGTCTTATCTTTTTTTATCTTTATCTATCATTATTTTTCTTCGAAAGATTGGGCTGAATAGATCAAAACGCTTTCAAGATTTTGTGATGAATTCGTTTAGCGTGATTAATTTAGTCAACGTTGTTTTATTTTTCTTTTTGAAGGTATTTGAAAAAGCAGTTGATAACTATTTTTTGAACATGATTTTAGCTTAAGATTTAAATAATCACTGTTGCAAAAGCTGCCAGGAGGCCATAATTTTCTTTAAACTCAGTTTTACTGGTTTTATTGTTTCAGTGATCTCCTCAAGCGGTCTTGGAAGGCAAACCAAGGAAGAGTCTTGCAAGATTTGCAAGCAATTACATAATTTTTTGTAAATGCTTAATGCTCCTTTGGAATGCTCAGTGCTTTTTTCCGAAACTCTCAAGCTGATTCTTGAATATTTTAGCTCAAAATGCACATATTATACGTCACTAGTAAAACTTAAGTGTAAAAAAATCATCCGTCTAGGTGTTAGAGATTGAGTTACAAAAATTAGTCTAGGTGGTTAGAGATTGAGTTACACAAATTTTAAAGCAAAAAATTGAACTCTTAGCTTCAGAGAGATCCCTGTTAGATCAACTTATTCGGACTGCATAAGATACTTTTTCATGTTTTTAAAGAAACTTGTCTAGGAATTAACGTCTTGCAAAATTCTTTACATTGTACTCGAATAGGAAAACACAGTTCCTGCAAAACTTTAAAGTCCTTTGCAAATCTCTAGTAAGATTTTTTTCAAAAAATTCAAGATCATCAGTAAACCTGAAGTTTTTAGCTTCTTTCATTTTTTTTCACAACTATTCGAAAGTAAAATTTTTAACCTCCTAAAAACTTGGGCGCCAAGCCTTGATCTACAAATTTGCAGGAACTATTTCAATTTTTATTATTTGTTTTTCAAAATATGATCAAAAACTCAACGTCAAAAAAGCAATAGTCTGTTAGTGTTAATGGAAATGTTAAAAAACTCTACTCGAATATAAATATAATCTACTATAAATATAATCTACTCAAAGAACCCAAAAAAAAGTTAAAAAGCTAAGTGAAAATGATTTTCTGATAAGATACCTAAAACCTTTGAGATATCTTGATGAGGTTTTGTTATTTGTGATCTGATTATATCAAAAAAATTGAAAATCATTGGACGTGTTTTAGGTCAAAATTTAGAGATTTGTTTTCCGACTACAAAAATAGCTTGTACCCTGTGAATTTTGTAACATCCTAGCTCATCGTCGACAATTTGAAATCGTCTGGAAAATTGCAATCACCAAATTGATCAGAGTTGCTTATATGAAAAGTTGCATTATTAACACATATTTTTTGTCTTTTAAACTTTCAAAAAAAACACTGCTTTTTCGTTTTTTGACTTTGTCGTTTTTTTATTGCGTCAGATTCGGAATTTTGGATTTTGTGGGAATTTTTAAGATTTTTTGTAAAAGTTGTAAAATCTGCCATTTTTTTAGAAACTAGTGGTCCAGCGTATTTCAGATGATTTTTGCTCAATAAAAATACAATAATTTTTTCATGTTATTTTGGATTTAAATATTTGACACAATGAAGAAAAATATTGACTTTTTGTATAATGTCCAAAAAAGTCTGAAGCCGCAAGCACGTTTTGGATGTTTTCACATTAAATCTGATCAGAAATCTTTTTATATTTTGAAAAAGATTAATAACAATGTTTGTTTTTAATAATATCAAAAGACGGAAAAAATTTTCGGACAGTAAAATCAACCAAAAATCAATTCCGCATAAAAGTTTCATTTCGAGCAAACGAGCTGAACATACTGCTGGAGTTTGTTATTACGCCGAATAGGTTTTTTTATCCTGTTATCGCGTAATATGTTAAACATAAGTTGATAAATTATTTAAGTCGGAACAAATATTGTTAACACATAACATAGTTAACTATTCAGAAGGCTGAAAAGCTAACTTTCTGCGATTCGTATGGGAAATAAACAGAACTTCGAGAAATGTTGCTGTTGCCCTTTTGGGTTTTCAGTAGCCACTTAAATTATTAGTAACAGTTCATAAGTTTAAAGTTCCGTAATTTGGTGCTGTAGAAACAAATAGATAGCGTTGATATAACTTGAGCCAGGGGATTCATATTATCAAATTCATATTGATACAAGTAAAAGTAAGAACAAACCAAACAATAACAACTGATTGCTCTACACCTCAGCTATTTTTGCGAGAAAAAAATGTTTCTAGTTTAGTTTTTTTTTCTAATGTTCAAGGAATGTGGGTCGGTCGTTCATGTGAGGTAATGATCTGTTTAAACCAGTAGCGGATTTAGGGCGGGTGTGCCGGACGCTTCCCCTCAGGAATTCGACCCCATGTCGACCCAATGGGTCCCCCCTTTGTACGACTTTGAGATATCCATTTTTGGTTTACTTACCTTAAAATTTTTCTAAAGGCGCCTTTGGTGCCAATCTATGCTAATTTTGAAGGGGGAGCGCGCAGAAAATACACAAGTTTTGGTAGAAATTTTCCAAAAAGTGCCTAAAAACGCTTTTTTGTCTTTATAGTCTTCAATTTGGTCAGATTAGGGTCTTTATAGTGGTTTGGGAAAGCTCAGAAAATTAATTTGTTCGGCCTAGAAAAAGAGGTCGGCCAAAATTCTGCTCTAGAATTCTCTACTTTTTGACATTCAGACATCTTTCTAAGCTCGACGCGAATCGCAACTCGACGCACGACTGAGAAAACTAGTAATGAATGTCATAACAATGGACCTTTCTGACGTTTTGTTGTTGTACCCCATTGTCCGCACAAAAATTATTGAATTCTTGAGACGGTCGAAACAGAAAGTGAGCCCTCGACCCAAGAACGAAATTCTGCTCCTCAACTTTGGCTGGAAAAAAATGTTTCAGCGTTTCACCTAAAATTGGAATTCTGTCGACTTTCAAGGGGAAAAACCAGTGACCTAAGCTCTGTAATTTTTTTCCACGATAAATCAGATATACTCCGAGAGTTCTCGCACGATATTGAGTGTGATGCAACTTAAATACACTTTTTAGTCGTGATTGTGATTTAAAAATAATGCACATGATGATACAAATTTAGTTATGAAAAAATATCGATAATCAGAGCATTGTATGCTAGTTGCATCGCAGCCGTCTATAACTCTCAATATTTAAGAATAGATATTTACTTACCAATTTGTTTCGTTTTATCATCGAACAAACTGACAATGTCCAAACCGCCGAAGTCCACTGCAATCCCCTCGTTCGCTTCTGGGCTCGGAGCCGACATCCCCGTTTCCTTTTTAGGAAATTTATTGCTACGTTTATCCATTTTTTGTCACGGATTGTTTAATAACTTTTATTATGATGGGGAAACTACGTGAATTCAATATAAGAAAGTAAAAAGAAGGCTTTTAAATTATTGATGATGGGGAAAATTAAACTGTGAATAAAATTGCCTGCGAAATAAAGGATCTATATAGATAATTATTTGGAAAACAGCTTAAGTCGCACGTTTTTCTGTTTTTAATACCCGTCAATAAACTATTTTGATAGAAATATTGGTAACGGTGTCAAAAATTTAAATAAATTAAACAACCGTAATCGTGGAACAGAGTCTACAAAATAGTTTTTAAGGTGAATGGTGTTTTTTTTGCTTAGCACAAGCTATGCACGGTATGATTGTAAATACATTCCGTTGCCTAATATATGAAAATTTAAGTATCATTAAATTAAATAATGGTATAGCATAACTCACTACTAGTTTTACAAACTTTCTTCAAAAATTATGAAGCCTGCCCTGTAATATTGACAAAGCAGGTAACTTCCTATAACTTAAAAAAATCCGGATTTAATTCGTCTGATCTTAGGGTTATTATTTAGTTGCAGTACCAACTTCGACTGAAAAAATGCAAGTAATTTTAGGAGAAAAAAAGAGGTGTATGCCTTATAGCATCGGTTGCGTGTAAATTCTCAATGAAAAATTGAAAGATATAGTTGCCGGACTGGGGCGGTGATATGTGTTTATCTATCTGGTAAGTACATGACAATATACGCAATATAACCCCGATAAACAATCGATAATTCGGTTGGACAGAAAGCCAAATTAGCTTCGGATGCGCGAGTTATAATACAGTTAAAATAGACCAAAAAATGGTAGAGTTGAATTATGGCAATCAAGATAGAATAAAATATAAGCAGATTCGACTATGGTATGACAAGAATAAAAGATTCGAGGGACCAGTGGTTAGATAATTTCAGTTTTCATAGCTTTGGGGCTAAATTTTGGGACAAATTTGGGCAAAACTGGACGCGATTCGAGCTACACGTCAGATAGTCCGTATCAATCAAAAAGATGGACTGACTATTTAGCACGCAATTGTTCTGTTCAACTTATTCTGAAGGTTTCAATGGTGCTCTAATTGACGTGAATCTAAAAGCGCGTATCTGAAAAATTAGTGGGCAGCGAAATTTGGGTGAAAAATCACCGCGAACCCTGTATGAGAAAGGGTTGGTGTGTAGTACCCCGGTGGGTTGGGAATTATGGGGGCGAGTGGGGGGGGGGGGGGTGTGGGTTAAGTGGTAAAGATTGAAGTGGGTTTAAAGTAGGCACACAGGGTAGAAGTATGCGAGCAGCCTCGAGGCTCAAATTTGGCATGAACAAAAGGCAAGCGGGCAGGAACAAATTTGGGTTCGACAGTTGATAATTGAGTTATAAGCTGGTTATGAATAGTGCACTAATTAGCAGTCGCCTGTAGCAGTCTCTTTAAAAACAATCAAAAGACAATAAAAAATCAATTTCGCCCTCCTCGCTTGATTTTTCCACATCCTACACGAACACTATAACTCATTCCATTTGCGTTTTATAAGGTATGCGATTATTTTGGGGTTCAATTTCTAGCCTATAGACACCTAATCAAGTGAAACTTGTATCGTTAAAATAAGCAGCAGCGATATGCTCTTCACACAAGCAAAAAAAATTGACAAAAAATCCTAGAAAAAAAACAATCTTGATTGCCAAATTACCTAATTGAAATAAGAAATAGATTATTTTACGAGAGGGCGTCGTTGCCTTGATATAAGATGTGCTGTTAGTTTTCTACTTCTTCGAATATTGAAACAAGACTGCTCCACTTCAATTTGGAACGATTGTAAGTGCGGATAGTTTGCAACGCATCAATAATTCGCGTATTGAAACAAGATATCAAAGTATTATTCCAGCCAGCAAAACCGCACTTCAGTCTAGTGCAAGCATACTCGCTTGGCAACCCTAAGATTTCCGGATCGATGCCCATATGCAGTCAACTTTTCTAAAATTGGTCTGAACAAAAAAACCACCCCGGGAACATATATTCCCAACTTTCTTCGAAAGTCTTAACAAAAATAGTTAAATGAGTTTAGACTGCAAGAGGCGCTGCAGCAAATGGAGTGCTATAACTTAGTTGAAATGGTTTCAAAGTGAAATGATTGTTACAATTTGCATTTTTTTCCCAATTATAAAATGACAAAATAAATCCTTCTCTTTGATTTTGCTTCTGTTTGTTTTTCGAAACCCATGAGTAGGTAATAAATAATTTAAGAAACTCTAGGAAATCACTCAATTTTTTATTAATAAACATCAAAACAACTGCTCGCATAGACTCTTAGTGTTCTGACTGCAATTCAACTTTTGGTTTAAAAATGTAGAACCAAACGTCAAAATTGATGCATTTTTTATCCCAGTGTCGAATTATTAGGACGACTTAGCAAGCTTTATTTTGTTTTGAAACATTTTTTTTAAAAAAAAAAGAAAAAATATTTGGTTTTTTTGGTCATCCTTGTCATGAAAAAGTCTCGATCAGAAACGTCAAGAATGGTCGGAGAAAAAACTCCCGAACATGATTATTCTGCTACTTTCCACGAAACTTTCCTAGTTTCATTTCTAATTTAAAGTTTAATTTTATTCCGAGTGGCATCAGTGTTTTTTGCTGATAAAATCAAACAATAATTTTTAAACCAAAATTCGGGAAAACAACAGGTAAGACTGCGTCCAATATCTTGGTTGACATTGTTTTCATATGAAGTAAAATTTGTTGCTGAGTTATGTCGTAGATCATTTTCAAAACTTTTTGTTTGCAATCACTGAACCGCAAAAACTTAATGTGCTTGAAATCGGTTAACATTGTGCTTGTTTTTTTTTCTTCTCGCTTGCAAAACTAAATGATTTCAGATCGTTTGTATGTGTCAACTAAAAAATTTAAAATGGTTATATACAACCTCAATTTATTTCATTTCAAAATTTTCATTTGCCTTCTTTAAAACGAACATTTGGACCACTGATATTTCTGTTTTGAATTGCAAGAACCTTAAATAAGAAGGAAAAAATTCTTTAAAATGGGCAGTGTTTTAAACTTTCTCATGGCCGCTTGAACACAATTATAATGCGCTACAATTTTTTTTTTGGAATTTGGAAAATTAGTTTGTCTCTTTCTGGGTTACGATATTAATCTTCAATTTTTTTGATTTTTTGATACGATGAATTTACACTAGATAATAGATATTAAATAGTTTGAAAACCAAAAATCCGCCAAAAAGATCAGCAAGTCGCTATGAACATTGCACCATTATAATGTTCAAATATCTCAACGCTGACAAAATCGATATTGGGCGAAGCAAACAGCCAACAACAAATAAATAACCCAGTTTTTAGTAGGGAAGAAGAATATATTTTCCTCGGGGATTCTTTTTTCCCCAGCAGCAGCTAATTCGAATGGTGTAAATAATTTAAAGCGACCATTCTGAAAGTGAGAACGTTTCTTTTCAACATCAGAGTTTATATTTTCAACAAAACATTAAAGACAACAAATAAGTTTATCCACGCTACAATGATCAAAAATAGGGGGTAAGATTAAAAACAAAAACACCTTATACAATACATAATAGCCATTTTTTTTGTATATATAACCTTTAATGATTGTTGGAGGCAGAAATTAAACCCAAAAATGAACTCGTTTATGCCGATCAAAACCTCCTGCGAATTCAGCCAACTGATGTTTTATGGCGGGAATCGGAATGTATTTCAGGAATAAAATGCACTAAGAAATCAAAACAAGGAACGGTACAATGGGCTAAAGTGGCGTTTTGGCTCTATAATTGCTTGTAGTATATTATGTTTAATGAATCAGACAGTCAAAATAGGTAGGTGTACATTAAAAATCAGGGTTAAAATAACAATAAATGATTTCAACTGTAGTTGACGACTTCGCAAATTTTGTTCACCCGTGAAATTTGGTCTATAATTGCGGTGGACAGATGAAATGGTATGAAGTTTTTAAATTTCAGACGGACCTCGGAGACAAAATGGGAATTTTGGCATGAAATTAAATTAATTGAAAGTAAATCAGCGTGATATTTTTCGGTCCCATTATTTTGGCCGAATCTCCCTAACGACGGGCGAAATTTAGTTTGAACCCGGGCCCTTGTAGACTCCGGGGCTCCTAATAATGAAGCTACTTTTGACTGCTGCGAGGCTTTTTGGCATTCGATTTAAAACAGTTGTCCCAGTCAAAAAGAAGGAGAAACTAACTGATTCAATTTATATTTTAAGGAGACATGCACTGATATTCAACGCAGGACAGCGATAGTTTTTTATAATCTCATCAATTAATAATCAAACGAATTACTTTTACTTTATCCTCAAAGAACCAAAAACAAATTGACGACATTGTGAAGAAAAAAAAGAAAAAACATCTTGACAGATCTAAATACCAGTAAGCTCGCTTTAAAACTGAAGCTGCGTTCTCATTCAACTATCGCAAAAATGGGACTTAGGAAACAAGGCAAAGTTTCATGTTATTCAAATTTGTCATAAAAAAGATAAAACGGGAAAAGAGGTCGCTTTGAGTATGTAATTCTGCACAAAATAAACAAACAAAAATTACATTCGGGATAAAAAAAGCAGACTTTTATGACATGAATGATAACAGATAAGTCATTTCCGGCCGGGGCAAAAGTGAAAGAAATCCAGTCAAAATTGGGACGTATGAAAATATGAAAAGAAAAGTTGACGTTGTATTGACCGATTTGAAACAAGGCATTTTTTAAAGCATGGTTTATTTTACCGTAAGCATGCACCTATCCTATCAAATAGTTTTATCTTTCAGAATGAAATGAATACGAAACTGAAAATTAGAAGAAAAAAAGAAAAAACTCTCGATAGTTTCAAGAAAAAGGCTTGGGAATGAAAAACAGTTTGAGAATAATTTTCAAAGTGGTTCAAATGCTTCACGAAATAAAATTTCCAAGGTCAACTGATCTTTTAGCTAATCCATTCAAAGTATTTTTCATATATGTATGTTGTTATTTGACTTTTCCACTGATTTTTGTCTTCTGATAAAAATTGTTCTCTATGTTTTTTTTCTTTCATTTGTGATTTCTTTCTTTTCTTTATTCTTTCATTTTTTCTAAAGATTTATTAGATTCTGCAAAATTTTTGACACCAAGATTGAGCAACATAAGATGGGTGATAAATTTAGATGTGGCAATCAACCACTGGTATGATAAAAAAAAAAGATCACTTGACTAAATAGAACTGCACAGTGAAAATACTTTTATCCCATACAACTACGACGCCAAACTGTGCACTAGATGTGAGAGATAAGGCTTCAAACATGTTTTAAAATGTCAAAAACATTTTTAAAATTTCTGTGGGTTAAGAGCACAAATACCTGAAAGGTAAGTTTTGTCGTCACAAGAACTTTTACCGATTCTGCGACGAGATAGTTGTCCCGGACATAGCAAATGTAAGTGATCTCCGCAAACTGTATGCGGATTCGGCAAATTTGGATAATTTGAAGTGTTTTAGAGCGATTTAATGTTTAGGCTATTTGTTCGCGGAATCCAAAACAGCAAAGAAAACCAAAGAAAGTTAGCATTGTTACTATCGTGTTTTCAGCGGTAGGGCAACAATTCTAACATGCGACAATTCGTAACATGCGACAATTCGTAACAAGCGACAATTTGTAACAAGGCGTTGGTAAGTAGAATACGCTTGCTCCGCTGCGCTTACATTCGGCGCGAGAGGAAAATTGATCAAAAATAAGCGTTTGCCACTTAATATAATCTTACGAATAGTCGCTTGTTACGAATCGTCGCCTGTTACGAATTTTCGCCTGTTACGAATTGTCTCTTCATGTTTTTCAGCCTGTTGCGGAATCCGCTTACAATTCTCATAACGCTCAAAATGGCTTCGTAATTGAGTTCATAGCCGATGTAAATATGAATGTGTGATCGGCACCGGATGACTAATACTACAATAATAAACGACAAGAGTGCCAAAATTGAATAAGTGTTTAGGAAATACGCAAATTTATTTATAACCAAGGTTGAAGAAAAAATATATAAAAAGTCTAGGAGTCAAATAGAAAAAAAAAAGAAAAAATTGCAATTCAAAAAATATAAATTTCAATAAAAGCA